AATCAGAGGGGGAGGGAGAGGGCAGTGGGCTAATCGTATTGATTTCCTTAACCCTGACCCCACTGTAGTCCCATCACATCACTCAGTGACCTGCAAGGGGTTGCTGTGGTCGCTGTGGTCGGTCGCCGAACTGATGATCACCACTCAACACTCCACTGCACTACCTCATCAAGCCATACAAGACACACACACATCCCATGTACCTGTCTCTTCAATTCTCCGTTTGTGTCCCCGTCCCCCGTCCCCTGTCGCACCACCACCTCTTCTTCTCCCATCATCCCCACTCTACTCCACTCCACACCCCTACACCCCTGGCGCCACAGGCCGGTAAAAAGCCTGACGTCCCTCCGCGCTAGGCTGCTTTCGCCACAGCCGCACGTCAGTCTGCCTAGGCTAGGCCGTTTTTCTGGGTTTGGTGGTGATCGCGCTTGCTGGTGCGTGTGAAGATAGGTGCACGGCCTGCTTCTTACTTGATTAGTTTTGTTATGTCACTTGGTGGTGTTCGTGGGATGTCACCTTTTTTTCTTCAGCTGCCTGGCTGGGCTTGGACTTATTGGGATGTATTTGGAGGTGGGTGTGTAAGGTGTAAGTAAGAGTAAGAGTAGGGATAGACGAGAGGGTAAGAATAGGCAATAGAGTAAGAATCAGGATAGTAGTAAGAAAAAGAGAAGAGTAAGAGTAATACTGACCCGTGACTTTCCTCAGCTGCCCCCCTGCCCTCCCTACCTCCCTGCCTGCAAATATGACTCGATCGGGTTCTCGATCTGGCTCTATCTCTGCTCCTCCCTCACACCCAACAAACAAAAGACGCCTTGCGCCAATCCCAACCCCTGCCACCTGTCTATCCTCGGCTGTTAAATGTACCCCTGTTCCTGTTACCCTTGTTAAACTTCCCTTCTCATCCTTCCTCGCTTGTCATGCTCTTATTTCTCTTTTTTCCACCCCCTGTCCCCTTCTTATCCACTCACCCATGTCACAATCATCTATCCCATCTCTGTCTTTCTCTGCCCCCCTTCC